TTCGGGTGACCTCAGTGCTGGGGCTACCCAATGCCTGTCCTCGTTCCTTCAGGCGCTCAACAGCAAGATCAACAGCACGGTGCAGCCTAAGCCAGTAATCGAATGCACTTTCGCCTTTCTCTGGGAGAGTGGTGTAGAAGTCTGCCAGTGGAAGAGGTGAGCACTGAGCAGAGTCAAAGTGTCTCCTCAGGATTCCAAAAATAGCCTCAGGATCACGTGTGACATCTACGACACTGTTTCTAATGCCAACCTGGACCACATCCTTAGCCTTGCCTCTCAAATGAACAAGAATCTCCTCAGCCTGTTCTTCGGGTCTCAGACTCCCCAGCTTTATAAAGGCTCTCATCAGATCCTCCCACTCTCTCACAGAAATGAGATCAGAACCATCCCCTCTGAAGCATGGTGGGTCCTTAAGCTTCCTGTGGGACACAAACTGCACCGGCGCAGCATCAACAGCAGATGTAGATGACACAGCATGGAAAGGTGTGGCCGTAGGTGCAGGTAAGGGGGTACTAGCAGACGGGCTGAGCTGGGTTAAGATACTCTGCGCTACTCTCTGACCAACCAGTTGGATCACATCCCCCATCTGACTCACAATCTCCGTGGCAATAGTATCTGGGTTAGGAGAAGGTGAACTGTTGTTCTGAGACATGTGTGACACATGGCTAGGGGGAGGGACAACAACCCCTTCACTGGACTGGGGCCCTGGGATCCCCTGACTATCCCCCCTAACAAAACCACGCCCACTAACAGGAGTGTCGTAACGCAAATGCAAAGGGGAACATAACAACCCCCTACCCCTACCAACAACATTAGGAGTACTCGATCCCTCCTCTGTGATGTCCATCACAACAACTAGAATAAAACAAAAATGCTATATATGCTCCTTTTTAAAAAAAAATGTGTCAGAAAGAACAACAATGAATCACAAACGTGCAGCGCTGAAACTGGCCCACGTTGCTGAGAGGAGTCCACCGTCCAAACACTCGATTGACGGCTCACGGCACCAATGTAACCCCTGGTCAGCTTCTCTTTCCAGCGCTGTGTGAATAAAACTCTCTGGACTCGAAGTGGGTAGAGCTCAGGCGTGATTTATTCCCCTGCAATAACATGGGACATGAATAACCATGGGTTTCAGCAACAGGATTCCGCCCAAACACAGCGAAAGCTTCATTGCTACTAACGATAGGCTTATGATCGTATAGTGGAACTCTTAGTTTTCCCAAATAAATAAAAACAAATATTGATTGAAAAATAAAATGGCAACAATACTTATCACGGAAAATAAAATAGAAACATTACTGCGTTGTGGTTTAGATAACAAAAGAAAAATTAATTCACTTAAATGCACATTCATGTAAATATAAATAAACCAAAGCCAAAATTCCCTTTTACGTACAATAGTAAATGGAACAATGCTGCCATCTACTGGGCAAACTTAATAAGCAATATGTCTTAAACAGAATTAGCCTGCAGCTCAACCATATACATGTTTCAAAGTACACATACCTGCAATAACATGGGACATGAATAACCATGGGTTTCAGCAACAGGATTCCGCCCAAACTATTGAGAGAAGTTTCAAAATTATTAGACACGACAGCCTCCTCTAGCTGTTAGCCGCTAGCTCCACGTGTCCATTTTTCCTACCGTCTAATCTATTAATTACAAAACACGGTCATAAACCTGAAATCTACTCAAATACTACCGTATGGGCAGTTCATGCAGTTAGTGCACTGTCATATTAGCTTCAATGAGGATTTTCAAATATGTTTTAAACTCATGCTCTGTGAGAGCGGACGGAGAGGAACTTACCACAGCGAAAGCTTCATTGCTACTAACGATAGGCTTAGGGGGTAGCCCGTTTACCAGTAGCAGACTTCCGCTGCGGATTTTCAAAATAAAAGTTCCAAAATAAACCCATGGTTGCGATCCCAAGTTTAACAGGAATTTAACAACAACAAAACCATATCCATTCTTTTACATCGTTACATATATCAATGTGTGTGTCTCCTATATGATATGTGGGGTGCCTTTGTCTGGATGTGCTTCCCATCCAGAGCTGCACAGCACAGAGGAAAGTTCCAGCGCTCCTGGAATCCCTCTGTGATGGACCGCCAGTCTCCAGGTGAAGGCACAGCCATGAAGTCGTCCACTAACAGTCCCAGATGGACGTCGCTGCCTGGGGGTGATCTGGCTCACCGTGGACACACCGACTCTGTAACTGAATGCTTGGTCGTGAAGGAGTCCCCGGTGACAAGGAACCTGGACAAAATTGTTCAAAATCAGTATTATGTGTACTGCAGTTACAAAATACATTATTCAAATTCCAAAATACTTTTGTGATGTCAGATTTAAATCACAAAACATGAATCTTACATAAAACATTTTGTAATTATAAGGATAATTACAAAATGTATATTAGATAATATCTAAAACAGTTGTGTTTTGTTTTAACTTTAACATATCATAATTTGATTGGTAGCAACTTTTGCCACTACAGTGAGCCAATCACTCATAATTCCTAAACATGTCAATCAGGTAGGAATGAAGTAAGACATTAATAGAAATAAAGAGTTGTATGTTGACATGTAGCCCTTTCCTTGCTTAAATCATTAATATTTTTGAAAAATTAATCTGTGATAAGACATAGCTTATCAAGATAGAACCATGTAACTAGAGATGAACCAAACTGTTCACAGTTTTATCTAACTCTGTTTTAATAAAGGCTGGTGACCCCTGCTATAGAGTCTGACAGCTGCAGGGATTATATACAAATATTCAACTATCCCAGAATTAAACCAGGTCTAAATAAAAAGGAGTGAGTATCACTACAAAGGTTAACTCAGTGGTCCTAATGCTACAGTTTGATATCAGCAAACACCGAGCGCATACATTGATGTGACACCACAGCCATGCTATCATTCAAACACTGATAACAGCATAAATCGAATTAAATCGGGACTTGATGAGACCTTCTGAGTATCACTAGAAATATTATAAAGAGTCGTCTCTGTACCCCAGTTTGCTTTCAGTAAACACCGAGAGCATTCACTGTTAGCATAGCACATCCATGTTAGCAGTGTATAACTGGATGGTTTAGCATATTAGCACAGGTATCAATAAAGGACTACGTATTAAACACTTTTACTAACCTCAGGCAGACGGACAGGCGCTCTGCAGGTGGGATTGAGCGCCTGTAATTGGTGTCTAGGCGGGCGATGCTGGGACCGACGAGGGAAAGCAGGTCCTCAAACTGGCCGACGGTGATAGCGCTGGAATCGGCCGTCATCCAGGCGCAGCTCCTGGAGCAAATGGTGAAACTCACCAAACTGCTCACGCCTCTGGAGGACCTGATGGACCCAGGTACGGCGAGGACGTCTTTTACGCCGCTGCTCTGCTCTCCACAGTACATAGAGAAGGGAGACTCTCTCTTCAAGCGCTAGCTCGACAGCTGCCATCTTGCAAAGATACCGTCTGGCACAACTTCCTCCCACATTTCAGGTTCACGCGCGCGATGGATTTTTCTTGGACACGCGTTGAGACGCGAATGTACACGCGTCAAATTAGGGGCGTTTGGGGCGTTTTATTCGCGTCCATCGCGTTCGGTGTGAACACACTGTTAGGCATCCGACATTGTGTCCAACGGGCACTGAGAGGCCAGCCCATTTTCCTCAAGGGACGATGCAACAGAGGTTTTCCTGAAGTGCTTAGTAAGTACAAAAAAGTAATGCAAGTAAATCTAATTGCTATAAGATGTTTTTAAAGGATGAGTTAATCCAAAATGGAAATGTGCACTTCCTCAGTGCAGTCCAGATAATTTTATAGTGCACTGTAAAACCCAATAAGTTAATTTTACTCAAAACTTTTGGTGAAACTGATTACATAAAATATTTTAAGTAACTAAAACTTAAAAATAAAAGTTAAATAAACACACTTTATTTATTAGCTTTAGATAAATATTTTTAAGTACCATTGATAAATGTTTTTATGTTATATCCACATTTTTGGTTTAGTACTCTCTACTTGATATTTTGAGTTTCAAGTACAAATCTAGCTCAAGTAACTTTAAGGAATTAATTTTTAGTTTCAAAATGTTAACCATTTTAAGCTAATACAACTCAAAAATTTAAAATACAAATGCTTGTAATATTCAAATCTACTGTGTTTTGAATTTGATATAAAAAAAAGTGCCCAAAATAATTACACTTGTAAAAACATAAGACAGAAAATATAAATTCAAGTTACAAATTTATTGAGTTACTTTAACACATAGCATTTCTAACAAAAAGTCCAACGACATAAATCCACCACATTTTATAGGGAATAATGTCAGAAATGTCCAGTTTTGGCACAAGGTTACAATATTAGAAATAAAGAATTTCACAACATGTTTTAAGAGTATTCAGATTTGATTAACACACGAGTATGGCCTTTTTATTAAAAAACAAACAAACAAAAGGAAAAGAAAATCCTGCATTATTATGTGGGAAAACCGAATGAAAGTAATAGTATAGTATAGTGCAGTATAATACACCTAAATATAATTGGTAACCTTTTTAATATGCCAGTACTCTGGTTATGCAAAATGCACATTTGTAGAGTGCAATCACAGTCTCAACAACAAAGCAATAAAACATTAAATAGAAAAATACTTCTTTAGAGACATAAAACAGTGTTATAAACCTCCTTAGCGCCTTATGTCAGTTATGAGCAGTTCAGGAGGAACGTTCCTTAAGTGACATTCAAGATCCCACCTAGAAGCCAGAAATGTAGTGAGATTGTCCTTCATTTTCTCTATGGATTTACAGTTATCTGACTAAAAACACAATCAAAATCAACTAAAACAAGTGATGATGGGGGGAAAATAAATAAATAAATAAAATAAAATCACCCCTTTTACTTTGGATGTGGATTTAAGATGATGAAGTATGAAACAGAGTGTGCAAAGATTTCTTTATTCTATTCTCTTTAAAAAAAACAAAACAAAACACTTATCCAGACTTTGAAACATGATAAGCTGAATTACTTGCTTTAACAGGCACTTGAGGACTGTGTAGGAATCCTGGACATTATTCTGCTGCCAAAAGATCATTTTTAAGACTCAGCACTTTGGGCTTCAACTTCCCACCCTTCAGACCCATCAAAACTTTCTGAATAAAGTCAAAAATGTTGGCCAAACATTTTGGGTAGCTTAGGTGCAGGGCGTAGGTCAGTCCAAATATTACTAGAAATCCATCAGCTAGGGTGGTGAAAACAATGATCATGTTACCCTCGACCAAAACTGCAGTCTTCTCAGGGCAGAAGAATGTTGCATTGCTGGAATTGGCTCTGATCAGGAGTCCAAGTGGCACTTCACTAATATCTGGTCTATCAGAATGCATCATCTACAGAAAACAAAATTACTACATGTTAGTACATTCCTATTTCTCTTAGTTTCATCTATACAAGTCACATTTCTGGATTATTACTAGCTCAGAAATCAATTGTTTGAACAACAAAAAAGCCACAACACACCAAAGATTTGAGAAAACAAACTGACAAAAATAGTACTTTTTAGTAAAGCAAAGTCATACCTCTTCGTAGCAATAACAGAAAGTCAATAGGAGTTTTTTTTTTTTTTTTCATTTGTACAGTGATGTATGGTTGGGCTAGGAACATTATAGAAGGTCTACACATATTAAAAACATGTAGTGTTTCCATTATGTGACATGGACACTGTTGTAGACAGATCCAAGCATGGAGATGCTTCTCAAACTGTCAAAGTGTCATAATGTTTTGAGAAATCTAAACAAGGATGCTACTAAGATATTGTTCACAACTTTGTCCAAAACTTACATCCCACGTTATGATGAAGCTAGAGGTGTCTTCGTACAAATAGGCAGAGAGGGCATGAAGCACACCAGCACGTTGGGCATGGATATCAGCTTGTTCCTACATCACAAGAAAATTATTTTAAATTATTGGCTAACCTAGTCAAGAATGGTAGTTAAAATTGAAAAATTGATCAAATTAAATAAAGCTCAAAAAACAAGACAAAAACCCACTAACCTGGAGATTATAGCTTCTGAAGAGCTGAGACAGGACATCAGACACGTTCCCTGTGCAAACAGCTTTCTATCTGAATAAGCTCTGGAGCCGGGGAGAATGTTGGTCCAACACAGCATAAAAGTGGTTCTTCAGGTGGAGGTTTGTGATCCTGTGCAATTCTGCACAGATCTGAACACACAGGATACATTTATGTTTACAAGTTTCGATTAGTCTATAAATCTTTGCAAAATACATCAAAATCCTTACACTCCAAAGGCATAATTTGTTCAGACAGGCCAGATAACAGGAGTTGATATAAAATACATCTTGTTAGATACATCTATATACATTCTTACCTGGGACTGGGATTTCAGAGTAGGCCAGCAATCCAGGATCTGACCTACTGGTAGGTCATCATTGATGATCTCTTTGCATTGCAAGGCCAAAGTTGTGAGCATCAGCTTTGTAATCAGGATTCTTTTCACTTTTCTCGACTTCATCTACAATCTGTAGTCTTAGCTGGTCAAGGTAAACAGCATCTTCACCCCTGAAAATTTACTTCTGCCCTGGCATGGACATAACAGTAAAACACAGAAGACAAGACAGACTACACAGAGAACAGAAAAGACACATAACCAAGGAGACACAGATGAAACATAACTAGCCCAGAACTCAACTAAACCTTAACTAATAATAACAACAATACAAGAACTTCACCTCATTTCAATATAACATAAGAAAGCAAAAATACAAAATAAACTCAAAATGCTGCGTCACAGACCCAGCCCCTGACAGATAAAAAACTAAGTCTTTCACTAATGAACACTGGGCATCAGAATAAAATAAAACGAAAAAAAATAACTGTTTGGTCAATATATTATTGATGGATTCAACCTTAAGCTAACCTAAAATAGACCAGGCACAACAATTTTACAGTTCAGAAGCTTCTACATTTCAACTTAGTATACATAACTATTTGCAATGTAAACCATGTTCTACCGCCTAATTATGTAATGATTAATCACTGCTTTTGTAAGCATGTCCTGTGCCTACAATTTTGCTGCCCCAGTTTTAATATGTACAACTCCAGAGAACTAAACGTAAGTTTCAAGTTCCAAAAGTTAGCAAATGGGTTAGCCAAAGTCAATATCCATGTATGCGCTAAGTGTGAAGCAGCGTAGCAGTGCATATTGATTCAACAATTTAACCACAAGGCAGTTTATAATCTGCAAATCCAGAAACGCCTTCTAAAGACTTAGTAGGAGATTAGAAAAGTTATTAACACATTATTAGTCCCAGGGACTAATAATGTGTTATACTAAATATGAGCTTATTAGCATAATTCATGCAAAACACTTTGGGGCCAAGGCGACATGGATAAAACGACGCATGCATGTAATTCTTAAATGCCTGCTAGAGTTGTACATTTATGACGATAAAAACCCATATTAAAACGGAGAACTATAGTTTCAGAAAAAATAAAACTTACCACAAAAGCGCTCCTGAAGATGCTGCAAAGGCGGTAAATGCAGCTAGCCAAGTGCAGAGCGTTAGCTGTTCCAGTTCAAAAGTCCGTAACATACCATAGCACGTCCTCCTTTATCCAGCGTCAAAGGCAATGCCGCAAAAAACCCCTTCACAAATGTTTTTATTTCTGTTCGGATATTAACGTTCCACAAGTTTCTTTCGAAGTAATGAGCGGGCATTCGCACTCGAAGCGAGGAATCCAAGATGGTTGCCAGCACTTAATAAAGAAACAGGTGGCGCACGTACGTACGTAGGCATGTAAGTGACGTCAGTGTTAAAACTCAAATTATTTAAGGGCAATGTCAGAAACTAATCAATATATTCAAGTACTGATAACTTGAAAAAACAAACTCGTTCAAACTACTCAAAAAAATAAAGGTGTATGAACTTATTACAGGTTTTAGTTGGAACTCATTTCATTTATCAAACTATTACTATTTGGTCTTACAGTGTAGAAAATCAACATAAAAGGAAGAAAAAACCCTTTCATTTAACACATCTTATTAGGGACGATAATCTCCTAACTTGCAGCTCTCCAGAAGAGTAGACACGAAGCCCATTCATTAGCCTGCTCTCTGTATTTGGTTTAAAAAGCACAGCCAGGCTGCTGTGACCTCGATTCAAACCGGGGTTGCTGTGGCCACAACGCAGAGTGCCAACCACTATACGACCACGACTGGTTTGCGCTGCCAGTTGCAGTCTGCATCTTGCATTTTTCTTACTCCAGTATATAAACTCCGCTTAGAGAACGGTTTGCGCCTCTGACACGAACTCATTTGTTGTTGTTCCGGTATTAGACCAATGAACAATTAGGCTACTTGGATATCTTAACCAAATACACCGCCTGGTCTGTCCATGGCAATTTGAGACACTGTAAACGAAAAAATGTTACTTTGGCCCCTTCAATTCAATATTGCAAACCATGCCAACATTTAATATATAACACTTTGCAGACATGGATGAATATTAAATAGATTTTTTCATTTTGTGCACGATTGATTAAATATGCACATCCCATTTTTTTCAACTGTTTTTCATGATAATTTCATCACATGATAAAGTCATAGGTAGTGTGTAAAATATATCCAGAGTTATACAAACGTCTCTTTAAAAAAAGAGCTTTGTTGCTATGCTTTTCGCTCCGATCACGATGTTGCTCTTGCTGGTTTCCATGACATAGCCAGTTTCAAACCAATAATCCTAAAAGCGTTCCCTATTGTTTTGATGTCATACGTCTGTTCTGTCCATGTAGTTTAGAAGTGTACAAAATTCCCATCACCCATGCTCACCATGTCCGCTCCTGGCCTGAGGGATTCTTCTTTAAGTCAAAGTTTCTCCACTATACAAAAGTATGGATGCCAAAATTAGATCCCTCTTTCGAGTGGACCTAATCTCTATTCCTCCCAGCGTCTCTTACTTGAGTAACTTTACTAGAGATGTCAACCGGAAAGGAATTTGTTCTTTGCCATAAAAAATGTTCTTAAAGTGAAGGAAGTTCCATTTAAATTTATTTATTCATATAGTAAATTATTAATTTACTTCGGGGCGTTGAAAGATAGAATAAAATTTACCCTCTTTGAATGTCAGTCAGGTTTATTAGGTTTGTTAGGTTTCTAAGAAAGGATACAATAAAATCAAATAAAGGGGGGGGGCACTACATTAACTTTTTCATAAGAGGAAGAAGAAGAAGAAGCTGTACATTGTGCGGACTTGTTTGAAGAAGTGATCTTTAAATCGAATATTAAATTGTATAATAATAACTCTTCTAATTGTATTGTATCTAAAGTTCTCGCAAAATGGATAGTGCACTGCGGTGAATATCCAGTAGACGGAGCCTTTGCGAAGCAAAATGCCCCCTCTTCGAACTGCCAAACTAAAAAGCTCTTATTTTGAAATTTGGTTCACAGGAAGTTCAGTTAACGCGTCGCCGCTCTGAGTTTGACAGACCAGCGGCAAACTTCGGACTGTGTGTGAGTGAGAAAGTAAGCTGTGAATCAGAGCACACAGTAAAAGTTGGTCTCAGTGCTGAAGTCCCTGCTGCAGCTGTCTCACGGCTTTCTAACCGCAAGCTGGAGCCGTTGTTAGCTGGAGGCTAACCCCCTGTTTAAAGTGTATCCAGTGGAAATGATCGAGAAATATTTAAGGTCAGTCTCTAATTTTAACCCTTGCTATGTGAGGAATCCTGCTCGGTTGGTCTCACAGCTCAGTTTCACGTGTTTTACATTTTCATCTGCTGGTATTAAAGTTTTTAACCTTGTTGTAATGTGTGACAGCATGTTTACATGACTGTTTTAGGCGTATTGTTGTTGCTAATGCGCTGTTTTGATTTGTTCGGGCTGTATACACGATGAACTCGGGGCAAGTCTTGGCACATTAAGCCACATGTTGCTCATATTTTGTGCTTTTCCACCCGCCCGCCAAACGAAAGAGAGATCATAGGGCGTGTCAACAGCAGTCTTGCAAACCGAGTGAAGAAAGAGCTGTAAAATGTTTACTTTACTCCCTACTGCTTGCCTTCATTTATTTATTTTACTGTTTAAAGTCATCAGAGGGTTTTTAGGGGTCTTTCGTGCACATTAAAGGGGCATGCCACCCTTTTTAACAGGTTACTCACTTCTTGTGTCCTATCTAAGAAGTTTAACCAGTCTTCCCATGATTTTGGATTTTCCTGGGATCTAAAACCTACTTTTATTTTCCACTGGTAGGTGTTAATAGCTATGAGAAAAATTGAGAGCCGCCTTCCAGCACAGTCACTACTAAAAGGAGGCTTTGTTTATCTAAATGGCAAGTTATATTTCAGAAGTTTGTCTTTTAGGAAAGGAACTATCATATGGTGGAGAAATGAGACAGGAATTCCTAAAACTGCTTTCATTACTCTGTAAGAGCAACATTTGTTTTAACCACTTCCATTTTCCAAACCGTCTTCTTCCATATTTCTTTTCAGTTCCATAAAATACATTTAAAGCACGGCTGAAATTGCCACTGGCTGCATCAAAGCGGCTTCCTCTCAGACAGATATGATGACAAACTTGTTTGTTACAGATGGTGGACAGCCTCTGGATGGCTGCCTCTCACAGCATGGCGTTACCTCCTTAAGCTACACACCCTAGTCAAGTTTAAATACTGTTACTTGTGGGTACACTAATGGTTAGGCTGTCTCAGTTTGTTTAAATGGTGGTTTCACTGCATCTGAAGTTTATTAAGTCTTTGATGGTGCATGTATGTGTAACATAGTTCAAAAACTGTTTAATAGTATACAAATAAACACAACCCCCCAACATGAGGTTGGCTAAATTAGGGGTTTTCAGGGAAATAAGTGAGTTAACTATGTGCTTTTTTTCCTTGACACAGCAGGGTGGTTAGTAAGAGGCTGGAATGGCCTGAGAAAGGATTGCACGCAAGTGTGTCGAAGTTTAAGAAAGAATAGAAGATGATGAGACAAAAGGACAGAAATAAAAATAAAGGAAAGAGAAAAGCTAGGAGGGTGCTAGAGGTATGTTGGAGTACATAATGTAGGCAGGAGGTTGAGGAAAAAGAGGAAAATGTAATAGGGTATAGGTCACTGGGTTCAGCCTGGAGCTGCAACTAATGCAAGTCAGATGTTTATTCTGACACTGGTACATAGGCAGCCTGATGGTAGCTTGGTAAGTTTACTCAAAAGGACTTTAATTGGCATTGTATTTTGATGATACCTGAACAAAGGTGTTGTTTCATCTCAAATCATCAAACTTTAAACACTTTTGCTCAGCAGTGTTTTTTCTCTTGGAGCTCTGCCATGCAGGCCATTTCTGCCCAGTCTCTTTCATATGTTGGAGTCATGAACACTGACGTCACAGGAGCTTGCAAAGAAAAGCGTCTGGACTTCTTTAAGTTACAGTAACTTAAAGAAGTCCAGACGCTTTTCTTTGCAAGCTCCTTTGACTACGATGACCTGGATGACTGAGAACCTTCACAGACATGAACACTGACCTTATCTAAGGCGAGTGAGGCCTGCAGTTCTTTGGATGTTGTTTTGGAGTCTTTTGTGACCTCTTAGATGAGTTATCGCTGTGCTCTTGGGGTCATTTTAGCGATTTTTGCCACTCCTGGGAAGGTTCATCACTCTTCCATGTTTTTGCCATTTGTGGATAATGGCTCTCACTGTGGTTCACTGGAGTTCCACAGCTTTCAAAATGGCTTTTTAACCTTTTCCAGACTGAGAGATCTCAGTTATTTTGTTTCTCATTTGTTCCTGAATTTCCTTGGATTGCGACATGATGTCTGGGTTTTGATGATCTCTTGGTCTACTCCACTTTGTCAGGCAGGTCCGATTTAAGTGATTTCCTTATTGAGACATGTGTGGCAGTAATCAGGCCTGGGTGTGGCTAGAGAAATTGAACTCAGCTTTTCAAAAATATGATACACCACAGTTAATTTGTGTTATAACATCACTTTTCACACGGTCTCATGTAGATTAGATTTTTTCCCGCTTTACTAAAAAACCCTTCATTTAGAAACTGCATTTTGTGTTTGCTTGTGTTATTTTTTTTTGGACTAAAATTTAAATTTGTTTGATGATCTTTAACATTTAAGTGTGACAAACATAAAAAAAAATAAAAAAAAAAAAATAGAAAAGCAGGAAAGGGTCAAACACTTTTTTACACCACTGTAATATATTCTGTGAAATTGTAGCTTCATATATCAAGTGCTTTTAGATATTTATGTATGTTTTTTAATAAAAGGCCTGTCCTCCTGCTTTTAGACTTTTCTTTCATACATTGAAATCTGCCACAATAATTTTAATGTTAATGTTTAAACTCAAAAACCTTTAAGGATAAAGGCTCGATACTCTAACTCCTCTTTCTCACCATAAAATCTAATCAGAATTTGCAGTTTGAGACACATACACCAATAAATCTAAATCCCAGGATGTGCTAGTTGAAACGCATTTAATACATAAAAAACAGTCCTGTAGCGTTGCGTATTTAAGCACACACTAACAAACAAAATATCACATCAAAAGACAACTAGTGACAATTTGTGACTGACATATATTGGTGTTTTACAGTAAAGGAAAGTAAAACGTGTGTAGTACTTTTTTTAACATGACATTTTTAGTCATAAAAATAAATACATGCTGCTTTAATTCAACTTTAATGCAGGGCTTAGCAAATATGATAAGTTGTACCACAAAAATATCAGTAGATGATACTATAACTATTGCTACTACTGCCCGTCACACCTCCCAGGGTATGGACCACCAAAAGTAGATCTCCAGAGGTTTCAGTAGAAAGCTTAATCCCAATAGAACGAAATTGTAATTGAGAATTTATTTATTTATTTTTAAAAAGTCATTTTCAAGTCCAAGACGAATGCTTGAAGTAATGATA